TGAATAATCATTGTTCTATCTATTAAATTGAAGTGTTGATTAAAAATATAGTGTTGAGTATATACCAATATAAATATTTGTATATTTGTATACATGATTTTTTTTGTCAACTTTCTAATCTATTATAGCTTAGAGCATCCGCAATGCGGACTGTTTAGTCTAAGAAAAAATACGCCACATCATTAATATAGACTTGGACTACTTATTTTCTCTTCCAATGCATGTAGTGTGTAAGTAAAATTTGCTGACATGGCAAAACAAAAACTGAACGGTGTGAAGATAGATGTGCAGGTGAAGAAAGCCTTTTGCACTTGCTGACTCACCATCTATCTTCAAAAAAAGAAGACGGAAGCAGAAAATTGCTCTGGCATGGAGCGAAATTGTGAGAAAAAAAGCCACCGCAATACTTATCCGATTGCTTTATTTTTTTACAGATCAATACATATCTTGCAAAATATTATATTTAACTTTTATTTGTACGATTTAACATGGAATAGAGCAATCACAAATGATGATTTGAGAAGTGTAGGAAGAGGAGATATGGAAATATTACCTGGTTTCGTATACATAGAGCAAAGCAATCGCATATTAATGTTTGATTTAATTTTAATAATTTGATTTGATTCCAATGACAGTTTTTTCATAGCTAGGCCGTAAGACTAGATGCGTTGGAGGCCTCTTCCAAAGTGCAATGCTCAGACATCTCACTTTGTAGTACGTGTATTAGAAAGCCTTTTGATTATTTGACATTTGTCATGTTTTATTTAGACTAGAAAGTGCACCATTGATGATGCTCTTATATTCAACAAATTAGTGAAAGACTATAAAAAATAGGAAAGATTCTCGAAATATGAGTAAAAAAGTTTGAAAATTCAAAATTAAGACTGTCATGTTTTTTCCCAAAATTGGAGTAATTACTGTCCAAGTTTGAAAAATGTTATCATGTTTAATATACAAACTTTTTTAGTTCTATTTTGGGTAATTTTTCTAAAAAAATATTTAGTGAATTGTCCTGCCTACGAGATCCTTTTTCTAAAAATTATACTCCGTATAAAGTTTATAAAACAGTATTGTAAAAGCTCTGCGAACATTTTGCGACGGTCTAAAAAAACAAAACACATTGTCCGACCTGCCGGATTCGAACCAGCGACCTAAGGATTATCTGCTACAACTACAGTCCTCCGCTCTGCCAACTGAGCTAAGGTCGGTTGTTGTCTACGTGGTGTATATGTCGCTATATATCTACACCTAGTGTAGAACATGGATTGATAGTGATGACTTGATACCAATAAGTGATAAGACTGATAGTATACAGTATACACAACGGCTTCAATAAAAAACAACGATGTAACACAAATATTTCAAAATTAATTCAAAATTAATATTTTGTAATTTTTTATGATCTTCTATGTAACACCAATATTTCAACGTATGAGGTTTAAGGGTGAAAATATTACATTTTCCAATTCATGTTTCAAAAAACAGGTCTCAAAATAATCAAGAAAAATCGAAAATTCCAAATTTAGTTATTTTTACATCATAATGTTTGACCTTTTAAATTAAAACTATTCATAAAAGCATTTGTCAAAAGTATTATTATTTATCATATTAAAGTAAAGATTTATGCATTGTATTATAAAAAACTATGCAACGTGAATATATTGACGATGATTGAGTTACGGTGAAAAATTGAGAGCCCGTTTGGTAGCATGAAAATCGGCTGATTTGGCTGATTCTGCTAAAATTTATGAAGTTCTGGCTGAAGTGGTTGCATTGGCTGATAGATTTAAGAAAAATGATTTTTAAATATATTGTATTAATAAAATAATGAAAAAATTATATGTAAAAATAGCCAAAATTGTCATGTATAGTAACTTCAGCCAATACAGCAAGAAAAGTAACTTCAACCTTACTTTTTCTGCTTATTAAACAATTCAGCGCGCGAAAGCAAAAGTTACGTGTTTGTTGAAAAAGTTGGCTGATAAGCTTGATAAACCGAAAAACAGTGTTGCCAAACGAATCAAATTTTTCCTTATCCCACCATACAAATCACAAATCACAAATCACACCTCACTGTTTATATTTTTCCTTATCCCACCATGCTTTCATCTCTCTCAGCTCATTCTCTCTTCTATTGTAAAATCTCAGTCAATGGAGAGGAACAACAATCACATGAATAATACTCCCTCCGCCCTTTAAAACTTGGGAAAACTGTCAAATATGTCCTCGAACTTTCATTAAAAGGTCAATTAAGTCCTTGTATAGGAGGTTCTGTCCGGCCGTCGCGATTTGGGGCGGTTCTCGGTGGAATTTTTTGATGAAATTTTTTGTGTATCTTATTCATCAGGTCTAGTTTACTCATACCAAATGTCAGCTAAAAATTCAATCGGAAACACATTCAAATTAATTCGTGAAGATAACTGCGCATTTTTGCGTTCTCTAATTAATTTGAATAAGTTCCCGATTGAATTTTTAGCTGCAATTTGGAATGAGTAAACTAGACTTGATGAATAAGATGCTCAAAAAAATTCATCAAAAAATTCCACCGGGGACCACCCTAAATCGCGACGGCCGGACAGAGTCTCCTATAGAAAGACTTAATTGACTTTTTTATGAAAGTTCGAGGACCTATTTGACAGTTTTCCCTTAAAACATTGACAAGTTTGATCGGCACGAGAATTAATAAAGAAAAAACTGTGTGGTTGAGGTTTGTGCAGAAGAAAGAGAATTAATTTGAACCACAAATTATTTACTTAAATGAAAAAGTGTAAAAGTTAGTGGGACATCCAAAAAAGGAAATTTGGCAAAGTTTTAAGGGACGGAGGTAGTAGCGTTTAATCGAGCAAAACAATACTTTCAAATTTTAAACCACGCTACAATTGGACTTTTTTATAGCTGAAAACAAAAAATAAGGAAAATGTTATAAATAGGAGTAAAAATAACGTGATGTTCCAAAATAGGAGTGTTCGGTTTTTATTCACTAAATAAGCGTACGCATCCGTCCTCCTAACTAGGGTTGCTAATGACCTGAGCCAAGCATGAACACTCAACGCTTGAGTTCGGCTCAAAACTTGGCGAGATATACAAATGAGCGTTCGATAAGTTTTTTAAATATGTTCGAATCATATTTAAATTCATTAAATCATACTGATTACATTTAAATTTTGACATATATAAATTATATTTATAAATTATAATATAATTTATATATTATGCAGCACGAACGGGCTCCACAGCACCGTCGTGCCTGACTCTCGGTCAGGCTCGTCCATCCTTGATCTAGGATGACGACCGACGCTTTTTATGCAGCACGAACGAGCTCCACAGCACCATCGTGCTTGACTCTCGGTCGGGCTCGTCCATCCTTGATCTAGGATGACGGCCGCCGCTTTTATGCAGCACGAACGGGCTCCACAACACCGTCGTGCCTGACTCTCAGTCGGGCTCGTCCATCTTTGATCTAGGATGACGACCACCGCTTTATGCAGCACGAACGGCTGGCTCATCAACGCCGTCGTGCCTTCTTTTTGATCGGGCTCGTTGGTCCTTAATCTAGGATGACGACCGCCGCTTTATGCAGCACGAACGGCTGGCTCATCAGCGCCGTCGTGCCTTCTTTTTGATCGGGCTCATCGGTCCTTAATCTAGGATGACGACCGCCGCTTTATGCAGCACGAACGGCTAGCTCATCAGCGCCGTCGTGCCTTCTTTTTGATCGGGCTCGTCGGTTCTTAATCTAGGATGTCGACCGTCACTTTTATGCAGCACGAGCGGCTGGCTCTACAGCGCCGTCGTGCCTAGTGTGGGGGCTACACCTCACCTGTCACTTATGCATACCTTGCGTCCGAGACTATTCGAATACGCCGATTCAGGAAAGGCAAGGAGGGACGTGAGCAAGAGTATACTTTCTCGAGTAGATTCACAGGCTCACTGTTCAAGAAACTGGGGGACTTGTGTTGGGGAATATTATCCCGGCCTACTACTATTCAGAGGTCCAATACACCGCCCCGGTACGGGGCCCGGTCGACGAGGCCCATTTAGGCCTACCCGGCCCATTTCAGGCCCACCGGCCCATATTTCGACCCAACTGCCCATTTAGGCCCATTGGCCCATTAGAAACCCCTCCCTCTTTCTATAAATAGGAGGCCTTGCTTCCTGGGAAAGGGATCGGTTTTTTGGGCTCCCGAGAGTTTTCTCATTCCCAGTACCATTTCTTTCCCTTTAGATTAGCTTATTTCATACTCCATTAATGGAGGTTCTACACTTGTACTATGTAAAATGGTGAGGAGAGCATATTAATGAGAAAGAGCGGGCTTGGACGTTAGCCTAAAAAGTTTCATGGTTTTCTCCCTTTCTGGGTTTCCACGTAAAAATAACTAGTTTACACACTTTTATATATTTATTCACTTTTGTACGGAATTTATCGTCCCTAATATCCGAAGTTTATGTTGGACTTTCGGATCTACGGAAATTTGTGTGATTCCAAATCGTTCTTAATAACTGAATCATCTACTCATGTGTCTATCTTAGGGAATAGGGAGATAGTAATACTCATAATTCGAAATTTTAACTTATTTTTACTCTGCATTCTGGAAAATTTCCTTAAAAACAATTGACAACTCACCCACCTTACAATTTATTTTGGATCTTTCCATATTGTTTCCTTCCCATTAGTAGTTGAAGGAAAGACGCGTGTGGTTAACATTTTTTACTTTCAGAATGAATCATATGAAGAAGAAAATAGCTCTATCTCAAACTAAAAAATAGGTTTCCTTCACAAATATGACTAGTATGATGTATTCCTTAAATATGATGTTTTTATTCCTCAAAATACCTTTTTATTTTAGGGTTTCACCTTTCAAATTTAAGTTTAAGCATTCAGTGTTTAGAAATAGCATTCAGTGTCCAGTATGCAACTTTAAAATTTCAGTATATACAAACACCGAACCATTTCAATATAACAAAACCTTTGTATACCACATTTCGTTATATGTTGTTACCATACCTAAAATTTCAGTACACCCCGAATTTCAGTATACAAAAATTTCGCTATATACCAATATTGTCCTTGCAAATTCACTAACACTTATATTCAGTGTGGTTCATTACGGACTTCGTCCCATACTGAAATTGTAGGTACTGCATTGTATAAATTTTTAGTTGTCAAATATGCAGGTGCCGTTGGGGTATAAGGCATTGAAAAGGGTGGAATTTGGTCTACAATACCGAAGTTTTCGGTGTTACTATCGTGTGAGAATAGGGTGAAATTTTTCATCCCACTTTCATTACAACATATTTGGAGTTTTCTGTAGAGAGAAGTTTGTATACTGAGTACATCATCTGCTGCTTGCTTAAATGAGTAGTATCCACCCTGTGGGCTGTAGTAGGCAAGTTTTCACATATAGATACAAATTAACCAAATTGATCTTCAGACTATTCCCAATTGAGCACTCAAATAATCCTATACTGGTGTTGAGCATGACAATGAACAAATGTTGACAGTAAATAATGTTTTGCACTTATGATAAGAGCAAACACAAAGAAACATGGAAAATGAAGCGCCCCAACCCCCAAGTACCTGCAAATTTTATGGTCCTATCAAATATTTGAAAATGAAATTTCTTGGAGTATAAAGAGTTGAATATAACATACCATAAGGGAGCATATGGAGATGACAAGTCCAAAAAGGAATAAGGCCACCTGCTTCAAAATTAAAAGAGATGTTTATGCCAGGAGGAATCATATGCTTTTAAGAGTCTATTTGTTTCAAGAAAAATAAATAGTTCAACATGTCATGTATGAAGATTTGTATCCACAAAAACAGAAAAGATGAATTCATTTTGAGAAAATGACTTCACGTTTCACAAAAGGATGAAGAATCAAGGAAAACATTTTCTGGAAAATATTTACTGTGTCGAATTACAAAAAATCAGAAAAGATGTTCATGGAAGATATTTCTGCGCGCGCAAACGGAGCCAAGACTCATCAAAAAGTAGATCAGTTGTAAATATTGAAACGTACCGCAGGGAAACACACATATGGATAATCCACTGGAAAGTGACAAACCCGCAAGTCCACAGGAGAAAATATGCAATCCGGAAGAAAGGGAAACTCTGGAAGAAGGAAATAATCAGGTTTAGGAAAGGCAGCTAAGGTTGGATTAGCTTGTTAGATGAAGAGTGGTGAACGTAAGTCAACTTACAAGGCGATTTAGAGCAACATCGCCTAAAAGGAAAACAGCATTTACAGAATGCAGACAAACATCCAGCTGCAATATCATTGTTCAATGGTAAGAACATATTTTGCAACATACCAACAAATCTAAAGAGAAGAGAAAAGGACCATGCAACTGTAATTGAATAAGGAGAAATAAAACTAATAGCAGATAGGAATTTTGGCTTACGAAATGCAACTGGTAATCGCTATCAGTGAGAAATGGGTAAATTATGAGCCAGAAAACAGTGTCTGTAAGCACCACAGCCCCTGCACACATCTAATAATAAAGTGGGAAATGTCAAATGGAAAATGACACTGGAAGAAGTGGGGTGTAAAAATCCGTTCTTTTGGAACAGTTCTTCCATTCTTTTGGGACAGTTCTTACCTGAAATATGATCTGAGCAGCATAACCTCCAATACCAGACGCTTTCAGAAGAGATGAACCGCTATCGAAATCTGAGCTCTCTATCTCAGAAGTGAGATCTTTAGAAGACTTCATCCCATATATGGATTGTAAAGATCCTACCTACAACATGTGGGAAATACACAAATATACTATCATACCAATATTTGAGAATTGAGAGTACGTATTCCAGAGTTTTCAAGATTTTGATGAATTGCGTGCGTATTGAGTAAGCATCATTACGCAACGGGGCGTAAGCCTAAGTTCTTAAACGATTGTGCTTTAAATAATTACAAATACCACTGGAATTGCTTATAATAATACTATAAAATATTCATTAATACATTAATACTCAAGCAACATCACAGTCAAACAGAACTGAGAAACAATAATCTGTTAAAAGAAAAAATACTGGAGTAGCTAAAGAAGCATAATCAGGTAAGAAAAAGAGAAGACGAGAGGGAAGAGTGAAGAAGAAAGAGTAGTTGAATAAACTATCTGTATACATCGGCTGAGAATTAGAGAAGTCGCAGAACAGGAGAGGGCAGGAGAAGTCGCATAAGATTATCCGGTAAAGTTGACTTCTTAATACAACAACATCCAAGCCTTAATCCCAAAAGAATTTGGGGTCGGCTAACATGAATCGATCAATGATATCGATGCCAAACAGAGAAGACGGACAAGAAAGGGAAGAAAAAAAAGTAACATAAAACGAATAAAATAAAGATAAATAAATATAAGATAACAATAACACAAGAATATAAGAAAGATAAAAGATAAAAAAAAGAGCATAAAAAAACTAGAATATAAAAATAACATAAGAATATAAAAAGATAAAGAAGATAGACGATAAAAGAAAAAAGAGAGGAAAGGTAGAAAAGACATCAATCGTCCACACGGATGTGCGTCCTCCACTTTGCTCTCTCCAAAGACATACTCTCATCCAACCCAAGAAGACACATATTAGTTCTGATTCCTCTAATCCAAGTCTGTTTGGGTCTTCCCCTCCCCCTCTTCTCCGCCTCTTCTCCCCACCCCTCAAGTCGTTTAACAGGTGCATCACTTGGTCTTCTACGCACATGCCCAAACCACCGCAAACGAGACTCCTGCATCTTACCTTCTATAGGTGTTACTCCCACCTTTTGTCTGATTATCTCATTCCTCAAACGCTCTTTTCTGGTATGTCCACACATCCAACGCAACATACGCATCTCTGCCACACTCATCTTTTGAATGTGGCATTGCTTCACCGCCCAACACTCTACGCCATACATTAATGCAGACCTAATTGTTGTTCGATAAAATTTACCCTTCAGTATAGTCGACATACCTCGATCGCATAAAAATCATGAAGCACTCTTTCATTTCATCCACCCAGCTGTGATTCTATGACATACATCTCCATCTAATTCACCATCCTTCTGAATTATGGAACCCAAGTAACGGAACATAAAGTTGACTTCTTGATAAAGAAATAAAATTGGTTTTTAAAATTTAAATGGTGAACTGAAGTTTAATCATCCTAATTGTGTAGTGTGCACACAGTTAGCCTCAGTAACAAGTAACAACTCAAGACATTGGTATAACCTCAAGGTGCATTTTTGCTAACAAAAAAATCAGACATATTTGCCCAGTTTCGGACATTGCATACAAAGACAGCCCCTATTTTACTAATGCATGAAAGTGAAGATTAGCTTACCCCAAAGTAGACGGTGACCAGAGTAAGTGTCCACCTATTTTGCACCAGGCAAAAAAAAACAGAGTGAGTTTTATAAAACTAAGGTACAAAGCATTACTGGCGTGTTATAACATCTCTTTGTTATGTGCAACAAATCATCTCTAAATGGGCTCAATATAAAATGAGAATTCATCTGAAACTGCTTGTCTGGCTCATAGCCTCATACACTAGACATTCAGTAATATCATTTTTCAAATCAATTAATGGTATAGATGATGATAAGAGGGTAAAGTTTTGAAGGTATATAACTTCAATGTTGTTATATCATACCAGACAACTAAACACAAAAATACAAACTCATATCATTTTGATCATTTAGAATGGAATACCAAGTCTTAATAAATGTTTCAACAAGTGATCAAATTGATGCACGAAAATTAATGTAGAAAATAAAAGTAAAACAGAATGTCCTTACTGAGTGTAAAAGTAAAAAATGCCAACACCATGTAAAACAGCATCTGCAAAGAGCAACCCCAGAAGAAGCAAAAAAGCAAAAACCCTGTAAGTAAGCAGCCAAACAGGATGGATGGATTCGTTACATGTCTTCCAAACGTCATCCTTGTGCAAAGTCCTTACTTTTTCTTGCTGATCTTCCCCCTCTTGATTTGTTGATTTTGATGAGCCTTCATACCTCAAAATTATCAATGCAGAAATCACCATAGCTGCAAAGACCCATATGGCAGACACTAGGAATCGCCAGTTCAGCCAGTAACCTGGAGTGTTTGTGGCGGATGTCATGCTTGGCCACCTAGTGTGAACTCCAAGCCCTATTGAGGAGTTGATTTTTCAGCTCTAAAAACATTAAATTCTCTATATCAAGTAAACCTAACTGCCAGTAGTTTCCACAAAATTAAAAGGCTTTGATAAATAATAATACTTGATAGAGGCATAGAGCTTGAAATTAGATGGGTGGCACGGAAAGTTGTTTGAAGGCTCTGTATTAAAAACACTTCCAATTAGGTAAATAACACTGGTTGAAGTATAGTCATTTCTAAGACAGTTTCGGAAGCGCTTGATTTCTTAATTTATTGTAGACGGAAGCATCAAATGCTAAAAAACATAACAAATTTAAAATAAAGCTAAATGCGTGTTCAAATTCCAATTTCCAAACAAGATAACTCAGAAAGCCACTGAAGTTGCTATATTTCAGTACTTCTGAAATGCAGAAACAGAGAAACTGTAATTAAATTATACCCCATCCAACCCAGAAAAGCATCAGCATTATGACTATATCTGATGTGAGAAAATGATATATACACTCAAATTCCATGATCACGGTACGAAAAAGATACAGAGTAGAGAGTACCCTCTGAATCTGGAAATTTTGGGAATCAGCGAATCGTGAATTAGGCGTCCGTGCTCTTCCCTTGGTGTACGATGAAACGTGATTACTGTCTTACTGATAGAATCGAAATTGCAAAATGAAACATGATAAAAATGTTGTAAGAGAACTAATGGTTTAATAAAAAAACAATCCGTAAGAAATTAGTTTGAGTGATAAAATAGTACGTACGGAGTAGTAAATTGTTGACGAAATTCCAAAACAGGAGCATGTATATTTTTATTCCTTAAATGAGACTAATGTTCCTAATTTACCCTAAATAGGAGCATGAGTGACTAATTTACCCTCTCTTTAGGACCTATTTGGATGAAGTGTTAGAAGGTGTTAGTAATGAAAGTGATAGTAAGTGTTGTTATAGGCCGGGAAGGGAAAGGTGAGTGTAAGACATAAACTTACGTTGTTTGGAAGAGCATAGAAATGGAGTGTTAGTAAAGGAAGTGTTTTTATATAAATTGACAAAAATATCCTTATACTTTTCAAATTAATTACTTGTATGCTAGCGGTCAAAATAATCTTCTCCTTCATTTGGTAAAAGTTACCCAGTCCAATTTGAATAGCCATTTTCTTTGCCTGCTTCGGTTTTGTCGCTTCCCGTAGTCGGCCTCTTCAGTTCAATGGAATAAGTAGTTTTCCAACTTTCACATTTACCCAATTTTTAATAAGAAGTTGAATATTCCTCATATGGTAATAAATCTATATTACACCTTTCGAAATTCCTGATATGCTTGTACGAAGGAATAATGGAATGGGACATATGAGATGACAAACTGGAGAAGAGAAGAACAGCAGATCCACTTTACCGATGAGGCCATGAGCACAGCACTAGAAAGAAAGTGAGGTTTTGTTTTTTCACGTAAATGAAGGGTAGTACGTGTCTAACATCTCCTTACACCTCAAATTGGGGTGTTAAAAATGTGGGCAATTGAGGTGTTGAGAAGGTGATTCTTAACACTTTCTAACACTTACTAACACTGTTATTTTTTTAAAATTTCACATCCAAACAGGTAGGGCCGGTCCTAGGGGGAGGGCAGCAGTGGCAACCGCCCTAGGCCCGAAAAAAACTAAAAAGAAAATTAGGCCCAAGTTTGTTTCTTTGTATGAAATTTGAGTAGACTTCTTTTTTATTTATAATTTCAATTAATTAATTAAGCCTAATGTTTAATTTTTGTTGACAATTTCAAACTTTTAAAACATAAGTAAAAAGTCTTGAATGGGGCAAGACAAGTTTTAAAAAAGAATGTAAATTTAGTTTTGATTTTTAAATAAAGTTGGTTGTCAGTCAACACATTTTTTGTTGAATCAATAAAAACATGTCTTTTCACGTCTTTTTAGCCTTTGAAACTTTTTATTATTTTTTATTATAAAATTACCAATTTATATTATTGTCTTTGGACCGCAAGTGCCTCCCAATTCTCAAACACCATCCCAATTATCTATTATGCCTCAAAAAACTCAATAGATTAGCAATTTTAAACATTGCACATGTGATTTTGGAAAAGATTGATTATGAAACAATTATTGATGATTTTACTTCACAATGTTTTTTTGTAATACTTGTGTTGTTACTTTTGTCCAAATATGTATTTCAAATAATATGAAGGTGAGTTTCATCTTTATTTTATAACCTGTATTAGATAGTTGTAGGGAGAATTCCTGAAATAGGAGTAATTTTTTTAAGAATTCCAAAACACGATTGTCATGTGTTTATTTTCCGAATAAGAGTAATTACTGTTATGTTCGGAAAATACTTCTATTTAGGCATGTGTTTATTTTCCGAATAGGAGTATGATAGTGTCAAAATATGGCAGTAATTACTTCTATTTAGCCAATAAAAACATGATAATTTTAGTTTGCAATATACACATGTTTTTAGTCCTATTTAGAGTAATTTCTCATAGTTTTATTATACTATGTAATTTTTACTTTAAGTAAGTATAATTTCCTGTTTGTCTTAGAAATAAGACCAAAATAATATATCGTCCATAGGCCCAAAACTGGATAGGACCGGCCCTGCAAACAGGTGTTAACCTCATACTCCTGAACACTTCCTTTACTAACACCTCTTAACACTCGATCCAAACAGGCTGAATCTACTGTGCGCAGCTTCTCTTTCATTTCTACGGTGCTCTCATTCTCCTTCATCTTCTGAAACAAGGAGCTTCTATATCGAGCAGCAGCGGAGAACTTCGAGGTGAGGCAGCGACAGCGAGCAACTAGCAACGGCGGTGAGCAGAGGGGACCAACGGTGAGCGTCGTCGAGCAGTGGTGAGCAGCGGCGGAGCATCTGTGAGCATCCAAATCCGGTGGCCGATTGGAAATAGCTCGTTGTTCATTGTTCTCCCCTCATCTTCTGTCATCTTCTTCTTCCTTGATTTCTGTTGATTTTTTGGTTTTCTCCTCCTCTTAAATTTCATAGCAGATCTCGTTTGTTTTATTTATAAAAAAGGTCAAATTTTGTTTCAAAAATGCCATCAAGTCGGCAATATTACTCTTCAAAAATGTCATGTATTGCTTTAAAATGCCATTAAAATGACATTCTCGATTTGTGTTTGGCATTTTGTTAAAAAAATTGGCATTAACGTAGACAGTGGACAGATCTGTACCGGTGGAGGATGGTTTTGCAGCGGCGGAGGCCGGATCTGTAGCGGCGGCGGCCGGATCTTACAGGGGCGGCAACGGCTGGATCTACAGGGGCAGCTGCCGGATCTGCTGGGGCGACGATCGATATCGGCGTCCAGCAGGGGCAGACAGATCTGCAGCGGCGACGGCCAAATATGAAGTGGCGGCAGGCAGATCTACATCGGTGGTGAGTTTTGAGGCGGCGACGGCGGCCGGCGAGCGGCGGAGAAGGACGACCAGTGGCGGTCCGACATTCTGCCACCAGCAGTATATTTTCCCAAGTTCAGGGTTATTTCCGTCCAATTACAAATAAAAACTCCTATTTAGGGAATTTTTAAACATTAGTCCTATTTGGCAATTAAGAATTTATTTACTCCTATCTAGGTAAATCCTCCAATTAAAAAGTCCAAGTAATTAGTAATTACCTTATGCAAATTAGATTCAGAGTAGTATATATTCTTAATTTCAATTAGTTTTTTTTTTGTTCGGGAAGAGTTTATAATTTTAGAACCCGATTTAGGGTTTAAGATTTCAAGCTCGGTTTGGGTATTTAACCTTGGCCGGTCATTTTTAAAATAAAATCCAGATCAATTTCACTTATCACATTCAGTCGTTTCGGTTTTCGGGTTATGGGTCGGTTTTTGTGACCTCTACTAGTTAAAATGCTCGTACGATTTACTTAGGGTTATGGGTCAATTTCACTTATCCTTCAGGATCCCAATGCATCGCCCCCATATGAAGCCTGAACAATGCGGCCCATTTAGGTTCATCTAGCTCATTACGACTCAATCGGCCCATTTTAGCCCATTCAGTCCATTAAGGTAGCCTTGTGTCCCTTTCTCATTTTCTATAATTACAAGGTTTTCCCTCCTTATTGGGGATCCCTTCTCCTTCCCCATTATATCCCCCTTTCCTCTAGAAAAACTTTGGGAACTCTATAATGGCTTTCAAGGTTTTGATTTTTGTATTATGTAACAATGGTGAGGAGAGGTTAATAAAAGAGAATATTATCCGAAATAGGATTAAAACAGTTTGAAAATTCCAAAGTAGAACTGTCATGTTTTTATTCTCAAAATAGGACTAATTACTGTCATGTTTTTGCAGTACTAGACTTCAAACATGAAAGTATTTTCTAAACTTGGCAGTAATTACTCCTATTTAGGGAATAAAAACATGACAATCCTATTTTGGAATTTTAACTGTTTTAGTCCTATTTCGGGAACTTTCCCTTAATAAAATGAGAGTGACTTAGACATTAATCTGAAAACTGATGTGGTTTTCTCCCTTTCGCGTTTCTACATAAAAACCAAGTGTTCGTACATTTTTCTACAATTTTATACATTTATTATTGTTTCGTGTTGGATTTATCTCAAAACTTACATACAACAAAATAAATCTAATAAATCTAAACTAATAAGAAGTGTTTAATATATGACTAAAACATACACAAAGTTTAAAATAGGACTAATTATATTTTATTCCTCAAATAAGATTTATTTAATTCTATTAAAAGAATAATTTATTAAAACTTCTCAAATTAGGAGTGAATGAATTATATATTGAAAATAAAACATTGATAGTTCTATTTATGAATTTATATATGTTTTAGTCTGTATTTAGAAAATTTTCTCCTATATAGAAAGAGATCAAAACGGTTGCTTCTACCGGCAAATAGGGATGAACTCGGTTCGGGCCGGACCGGTTCACCTTTTGAAGGGCCCGAGCCCGAACCGCCATCCCACCGGGCCGGGTGGCCCGAACCGGCCAACCAACCGGTTCACCGGGCCGGTCCGGGCTCGCACAGTAGCGGGCCAGTCCGGTTCCGGGCCGGTTTGCCTGACCCGAGTCCAACCCTACCGGCAATAGACCATACTAAACATTAAAACTACTAAATTCTAAACCTTAAAGAAAAGATAAAACTGATTATATGTCCAAATGTGTATATATAAATATAAAAATAGATAGATGGATTTCAAAATTATACTTTGCAGTTAATAAAAGTGCAAGCCAACGTAGTCACCAGACTTGTAGTTACTAAACAAGTCCATTATAGTTTAGTGTTATTGTGATATTGTCTCATTCACAGAATTATTCAAACGTCATTGTAGGCCGGTCCCAAAGTTACCATTGTTTTATTTTAAACAAATCATTTAGACATTTAGTTTTTCCATTATTTTCAATGGAGCTAAAGACTCGCTAGTTTTTGACTTTTGAGAATATGATAGAATAAAGCAAAGTGGCTCATCAAACTGTCTGCGCTTCTTTGGTATGAAGTAAAAGTCAATCTATGCAATTTTCGACGCGATTTTCACTTGGGTTATTCAGAAACAGTTTCTTTGTGCTTTTAGTACATGGGTAAGACTGCGTACATCCGACCCCCTATCTCACCGTAGATGAGAGCCTTTGCGGCAATTAGGGATGGATTCGGGCCGGGCCTAGGCCCGGTCGGGCCGCCGGTTCAAGAACAGTGGGCCCGGGACCGGCCCGAGGGTTGGACGGGTCCGGTTCGGGCCGGGCCACCCGCCCGGGTCATGGGTCGGGTCCGGTTCGGGCCGATTAATTTTTTTTTTTTATAATTTATATTTTATATTTTATAGTTTTATACGAGTATTAAAAACAAACTTCAATTGCATTTATTTGAAATGAAATAGGAACTACATTTGAAAATTAAAACAAACTTTAAGAGATAAACATTTTGAAAATTGTAATCAATCGGAACTTCCCGCACCTCCCGATCCTTTGGCTTTGTCACATGACTTCATATGCTTGATTGCCATCCCGAATCCGCCTGAAGCCCCCATAATACATTTTTTTTCGCACCATTTACAAATTGCGTACCACATCCCGGTCTTCGGGTCCTTCTGCTTAACAAAATTATACCGTATAATGACATTTTGATTTTCCATCTTAACTTCTTGGAGAAGAGAATTAGAGAGTAGATATATAATATATTGGAGAATAAGAGAATTAGAGAGTAGAGAGTTAAGAATAGGATTTAGGAAGAATTGGAAAAGAGATGTGAAAAAATGTTTAAGAGTAGGAGAATTTATAGGTTTTTTTACCCCCCACCCCCCCCCCACCCCCACCCCCTACCAGCCAACCCCCCCGGACCCCCCCTTTACCCCACCCAACGGCTATATAGCCGTTTGGGTTGTCCCCAGCCCCACCCCCCAAGGCCTCAACGGCTAGTAGCCAAAAATAAAAAAAAAAGTTTTTTTTTTAAAATAGACCCAGACCCGGGCCCGACCCGGCCGGGTCACAAAAATGATGAACCGAGCCCGCCCCACCCCTTCCCCCCGGTTCGGGCCCATACCCGGTCCCGGACCGCCTGACCGGGCCGGTCCCGGGCCCGCACAGTACCGGGCCGGGCCGGGTCACGGGCCGGGCCGGGTCACGGGCCGGGCCGGGTCACGGGCCGGGTGGCCCGAACCGAATCCATCCCTAGCGGCAATGGGGTAATGATGATGGCAATGGGGTAATGATGATGACGATGATTTAGAGATGGATGGAAACATGAGTACTCAGAAAGATAAGACGTTGTCAACTAGGAGTTTTAATAAGCTAGTGATAGTACTTCGTGTCCAACAATAGCTACAATTTCATTATTTGGATTGCAATAACTACGCACAAAATTAATTTCCAATAATATAAGAATGATGAATACAAGTATCCCTGTCGTTTAGCTTCAGCCTTCAGCTAACAATACAAGCCATGATACCTATACCACTTATGAGCAAAACTGCACAACCAAAATGACAGTACAATATCAATTTGACTGCATTATCTTTCAGTAATTTAGTGACACAACAATAAAAGCTGGAAGAATAAACGAACCGGACCGCGTCCAACCCTTAGAGTCTGTTCCAATATAAGTTGCCTTGGCCACGCTTAGAGACTGCCTTCTAGCCCACCTCAAGAAATAGAGTCATTAACATCTCCTCTGTTCACACACATCTTTGAAGGGTGTACTTGCTAACTACACAATCATGGGCTAAAAGTAATGCTAAACTAGCAAAGAGGATCTTCAAATATTACTATTTCATACATGAGTGTTCAAAGAAACCGCTGCTGGAGTTGAGCATGCGACCTTTCTCAGCTTTACTATATTCCAACATTACTCTGAAGAAATCTTGACAGTAAATATCTTTTCGTTTTTATTATAAGGGTGAAGATGAAGAAACATGGAACATGAAGCGCCCCAACCCCTAAGTACCTGCAAGTTTATACATTGCTATCAAATATATAAATCAATGAATTGCCTGAGACGAAAATTGAAAATACAGAATAGAAACATACCATAAGGGAGCATATGGAGATGACAGGTCCAAAAAGGCATAAGGCCACCTATTTAAAACAGATGTTAATAAGGAGAGGAACGTACTATTATTTGGCTTTAACTTCAACAAAGGTAAAGAACAGCTCTAAATATGCAAACCAAACGTACCATAGTGAAACACACATATGGATGATCCATTGGAACGTCACAAAAACGCAGGTCCACAGGACAAAATATGCAATTCGGAAGAAAGGGAAATTCTGGAAGAAGGAAATAATCAGATCTAGATGGTGGTTAAGTTGGCTTATTGGTTGGAGATTGGTCAAGGAAAGTCAACTCACAAGGCGATTTAAAGCAACTTCAACCAAAAGGCAAAAAGCATTCACAGAATGCATACAAACGGCCAGCTGTATTAATAAGAAAAATTCAGAAAGTGATTAAACAATTAATTCTGATCTAAAACTTAGAAGGTAGAAAAATTAAGGTTTGACTTACAAAATGCAACCGGTAATCTTTACTAGTGAGAAAAGGGTAAATTATGAGCCAGAATACAATGTCTGTAAGCACCACAGCCCCTGCACACATCTAAAAGTGAAGCAAGAAATATTACTATTCTTGGAGATTATAACATTGTACATTTTTGGGATAATGTGGGATTGATGTAAATCCATATTGGCAGGAGAGCTCTTACTTGAAAAATTATTTGCATGGCATAAACCCAAAATCCAGCAGCATCCAGAAGAAGTGGTCCGTCTTGACTACTGGACACGTAACGCCCATTCTCGACATCTGAGCCCATAATGTTAATCCTTTCAGCAGAGGGCTTTCTACATAGTCTCAGCCCATATAAGGAATGTAACGATGCTACCTGCAACATGTGGGGGCATACACTTAAATACAACAAAAAAGAGATAACCCCTATTTACCAGTGGAAGATAATGAAGATTGTCATACCCCAAAATATATGGTGACAAGAGTGAATGTCCACCTATTTTACACCCAAAAACAAAAAAAAAACATTAAAGAAATACATTTTTATACCACTGGCGCAATAAAATTATCGGAGAAAGTAATATTTTATTGAATTGCCTTACTGAGTGTAATAAATAAATATTCGACCACTGTGCAAAACGCCATCAGCAATGAGCAACCCCAGAAGCAGCAAGAAAGCAAGTATCCTGTAAATAAGCAACCAAATAGGACTGATGGATTTGTAAGATGTCTTCCAAACATCATCCTTGTGTAAAGTCCCTACTTTTACTTGCTGATCCTCCCCATGCTGATTTGTTGGTTTTGAGGAGACTTCATACCTCCAAATCATCAATGCAGAAACCACCATAGCTGCAACGATCCATATGGCAGATACGAAGAATCTCCAATTCAACCAGTACTCTGGAGTGTTCGTTTTGGTCGTCATGATTGGCCACCAAGTGTTATTCCCAAACCCTATTGAGAGGTTCATTTTAGCTCTATATTTAAGATTTCACTAAACAGCACGTAACTGTAGATAATTCCCACAAAAATGCCAAAGCTTTGAACACCAACAATAAAATCCAATGTATTATGAAATAATTTGAGAGAAATTCAATAGGTCTTAGCTCTGTTGTATGGGAAACTAGTTGAACAGAGTATAGTTACTTATAAGACAAACAAAATCCTTTCATGAGGGGTGAAACTCAAAATAATTCCTCAATTCCATGCAGACAGGAAATCAATTTCAAAAAAGAGAAGAACGTTAAAGTAAAGCCAAAGCATGTTCAAACTTGTAACGCAGAAAGAACACGAATATTATCCTCGAAAACCACTTAAGATGCTAAATTACAGTGCTTCTAATAAAGCGCAGACTCCCCAAAAGGATAATAATACGTATATAATATGGGAGAAAACAAAGCACACACGCTAATTCCATGATCAGGGTACCGGAAAAAGGGTTGCACAAAAAGAAAACATACTGGCGAGTACCCTTTGGTTCTGGAAATCTTAGAAATCGTTAGCCGAGGTTCCAGAAGAGAGGCGACGCGGGAATTGTGAACATGCTATTCCCTAACCTTCCGATTCTGAGCTTGAAGTGAACTGAAATTTGGGCGGACGGAGGCGAGACGGTGGGATGGTCAAAGACGTTTGGCTAGCGGCAAAAGGCAAATAAAAGACAGCTTATACGACATCGTTTGGTACTCCTTATTAAATACTGTACTCCGTATTAAGTGTCTGTTTTCTAACACATATATTTTCCACTTTACTACTCCGTATTTCTGTTTTTTGATCTCCAATTTTCTGTTTTCATTTTCCAATTTTTCTATCTCCAATTTTCTGTTTTCATTTTTTAGTTTTCCATTTTCAAATCTCAAAATATGTTCATCAAATTTATGCACCCAGTTCTGTGACCGACCAAAGGACCGAAAGTACGGTCCCAGTCCGGAATCGAACCTAGTACAACCCAAGTATGGTACCAGGTCCCACGTACAGGAAAGTCGAGACTGAAACTGTCCAGCCCCGATTGATCTCATTTTCTTATTGGTTGATTACTCAACGACTCTTTTAAAACTATTCACTTTAAAAATAATTTCAAAAAACCAAGAGTGAACCGCTAGATCATTGACCGACCCGGACAAGGACCGTTGGGTCATTGACGGGACTGGCTTGAGACTACCAGGTTGTCGGTCAGATGAACACAAACCGTCAAGTCATTGGCTAGACAAGATGAGGACCGTCGGGTCATTGATCGGACAGAAGGGGACCGCCAGGTTGTTGATCACACAGGACGGGGTCTGCAGAGTCATTGACCAGACCGGATGGGGATCGCCGAGTCATTGACCAGAACGGATCGGATCGGGATTACCCGACCGTCGACTGGACTGAATAGGTACGGCCTGGCCGAGCAGGGACCATCGGCTCATTGACCGGACCGGACAAGGACTGTCAGGTCATAGACCGGACCGGAAAGTCACCGTTGTGTCGTAGCGGGACCGGACATGGACCACCGAGTCGTTGACTAGACTGGATCGGGACTGTCGGGTCGTCGACCGGACCGGACCGGGATTGATCGGTCGTCGACCAGACCGGACAGGGATAACCGAGTTGATGACCGGACCAAATCACTGAGTCGTTGATCGGACCAGATCATTGAGTCATTGACCGGACCGGACCGGAACTGACACCAGAGCGAGACGAGATCCACCATTAGGTAAAAGTATGCAAACTCATTGCAGCGACATTGCAGCGGCATTGCAGCATCCACGTTTTCAAAATTTGGAGAACTAGTAAAGTCATTTTTCCAATTCATTAAAGAAAACAAAGACATCTCATTTTTTGGTTTTGGAAAACGATTTGGTAAACACATTTTTATGTTTTCTTTTCTCCATTTTTCCAGCAATTTTTTTGATAAACATGTTTTCGGTTTTCCTTTTTCGAGTTTTCCGATTTTTTGAAAAATTGGATAATACGAAGTATCTTTTTTAGTAAATAGGCCCTAAATATTTCAGCAGTTGCATCTAGGTTAACATTAAAAAATTAAAACCCGTTATCAAATATTCCAGAAGAATATGACACTACACAAGGATAAAAATTCAACAACTTGAGTCAAGAGGAACACATAAACGACTTACCCTGGTGACATCATGCATCTCGTGCTGCCACAAAGCTTCATCATTAAAACTCTCCAGCTTTTCCGGATCAGCAAGGAGGAGGGAGCAGCCGACGAACTCATGATCGTGTACCGAGCCCTCTATCACGCTCCCACCCGCGGGGACCTTTAAGGTCACCTCGTTAGGGCTGGGTCCGAAAAACCGAAAACCGAAAACCGAATCAAATTAAATCGAACCGTGACCAAATAAAACCGAACCGCTAAAAACCAAAACCGAATGTAAAAAACCGAATCGAACCGTAGTAGTTTGGTTCGGTTTTGGTTTTTACCCTTCAAAACCGAACTGAACCGAACAATCGAACATAAATAAAATATGAAATTTTATTTGTTAAATGTAAGCATTAATCTTAATATCATCAACAATCTTTGAATTTCTTGTGCTAGAGAAATAATGTTTATGTTATGTTTAGTTTAGTTTATAAATGCATTTACACATTCATTGCCCATAGTAATGTAGTTATATTGATCTATTATGTCTTTTATGTATGTATGTTGCAACTTGTTGCATGATTATATGTTTTTACTAGTTATTAGTAGTAATTAACTTTTATTTTTATGTAACTTAATTCTTTTTTGTAACTTAACTTTTTTATATTGATAAAACAAATAAATATTCATCTCGGCTAAATCACACAGGACATATGTATTCATAAACGTTTTTCAAACTAGTCACAAACATTGTAAATTAAGGATAGATACACTTTTATCTCTTCCACATACTCATATAATTCAAGACATATTTGCTTATTATTATTTTCTTCATTTGTTCAAGTATGCTTGCATTTTTATGTAATATGTTTGATCCCTTCAACTTTTATATCAATTTTAAATTAAATGACAAATATTTAGTAAAAAACCGAAAAAATCGAAACCGAACTGAAACAAACCGAACCAATCAAACCATGGTTTGAAGTTTTGGAGTGTAAAACCGAACCGAAACCGAACCGAACTTTACTTTGGTTCCGTATTTGGTTTTAGGTCAAAACCGAACCGAAAGAATCGAACCCACCCCTACACCTCGTGAAATGGCCCCTGGGCAAAGGCACCCACTACAGACTCCTCGCCTGGAATGATCTGTAGAGGTCGAGTCCTGTCACCGCCCGGAGCAAGCTGTTCCACATCAATGACCTCCACATCGGCGTTTTGGGAAGCCTGCGGACTCTGAGTGACAAGGCCCACCTATTGAAGGGTCTTTTCCCCCCTTGGCCACCTTTGTTTTCTTGTTTTTTCGAGGCCTCGTCCTTCGGAACGGCTGTCCTTTTTGGTTTCTTCACCGCCTCAGTGCTCCCCTTCGTAGCAGTAACGCCCTTCAGGACCTTCTCAGCCCTGGCAGCCTCCTCAGACGCTTTCTTCTCAGACAATTGCTCTTGGCGATTTAGGGAAAGTAGAGTTTTCCTGTCCATGTCGGTTTCTGCAAAGAGAAAAAGAATAAAGAGTTAGCAAACAGAATAAACACCAACAACAAGGGGAAATTATAAAGGACCCAAAGAACTACTATGACCTCGGGACTCGGGCACCTCAGTCTCCTTAGCCCACTCAGGGCCCTCCACCTTCTCGAGGAACATTCCACCTTTCTCCTCACCAGGGAGCCTGTACCTCTCATATCCGAGGAGGACCATCCTCTCATCGGTCATATATTTTTCCTGGACTCGAGGTCCACCGTCAAGGAATGCATTCAAGACAGGAGTGATGTCGTTAGCAGGGACCTTGCCTACGATGGGTGTTTCTTGAAAACCTCATTGTAATCCGAGGGGATAACACCACCGTCATCCATCGAGATAAAAAACGAACATAGCTTTCCAACACTTAATCGACGAGGGAGCTATTTGGCGACAACTGGGCAAGTCTCAGTCAGGTATAATCAAAGTAGCTGACCAAGAAAGGATGAAGCGGAAATCACATGCCCTTGGACACGCAGAAAGTAACCCTTCGGAGGATTCAACACACAATCGGATGGCAGCGGCTCTCGCACCACCCCAAGTGGACCGACGAACATCTGAGCAAATGTGACGTCACTTTGTGTGTTCTCATTTCAGATGATTTTTAGTAGTGGGCAATCGAGAAAGGAATATCCTTTGGGCACCCCGTCTGGAATAGGACGGTTGTACCTTTGTCTCCTCTTCAAAGAGACCGCAACTGGAACCGATGAAGGACAAACCCCTGCCCTGAAGTGGACCGGCCTGCTCTGCGGCGCCAGTCTCCCTAAAAAATTCTGACTCATAAATAACTAGAGTATGTTCCTCGGGGTCAGTAGAAGGACTAATCTCATCCTCTCCCTCAAAATCAGAGACAAGGTCAACCTCAGCCTTAAAGTCCTCTTTATGGCGCATCGGCACTTTCAGGCTCAGCTCCACCTTGAAGCTGTCCAGGCTAGAGGAGGATTCCTCGATGTCGGAGAGCGTTTCGGAAGATCCAGAAATATCTTGAGAATTGGACGACTACATAACTAACATAATCTACAACTTGCCGCTACTGATCAAACTATGGGTTTCTACGAACACCTAATCCAAGGATTAGCAAGCTAAGTAGGCAAAAAGCTCGAAGAACTAACCTTGAAGGTTTGAAGATGGTAAAGAACATAAGTCAGTACGCCGGTTGCCATTCGGTTCAATCGACGCAACCGCCCAAATTTGACCACTCGACTCACACCACTTGTCCCTAGTTGTCTCCTACTTGTGACGCACCACAGTCCATCACGCCCGTACGCTGGTGCGTCTGGAGACCCCACGGTTGGATGCACCCCGATCGAGTGGCCAATAACGTTCTAGGGAAAGGCACCTCAGGTACACGTCTAGAACACGACAGACCGACACAAGCCCCTCGAATTGAGCTCTACGGTGAGGGTTTTGGGCCAGCGGCCTTTGGGCAAGGATTCTCCCATAGGGTTGCCTTGCCCAGGGTTCGCCGAAGAAATCATATTCGATGCTACTTCACAGGTGGTCCCTCGGTAGAGCAGGTACGAAGGTGGCCCTCAAGATATCTTCAGTGGCGATTCCATACTCCTCATCCCGATATCCAACTCGGCATCAGAAGTGGGGGACTAGGGGAATGCACCTCGGGAAATACTTTAATATCGAGACATAGGAAACACGGCGCGACTGCGGATGCACAACGGAAAGCTTACCTCGGAGGATGGGGACAAAATGAATGACGACGATTAGAAAGGCCGAATCTACGAAAAAACATGTTTACTCCCTTTCACTTCGATGCTCCTCAGCTCAGAGAGTGGGGGATTCCTGATAGAATACACGGGCTCGGGTCCACGACCCACACACTCTCGGACACACAGACGATCCAAACCTGCACCAGCACCTAAAGGACCAGCGAGAGGACCCACTCCATTATGCAGTGACGGACTTTCTGTGATCATCTCGGCTCACCCACCTCGGAAGGACACACCTCAGCACAAGGCACCAGGATACACCTGGGGTTTTGCCCTTGTGACCATGATGCACCCATGCATCTCAGACACATTGCCAACAATGATCACTTTTGTATCATTTGGGCTATAACACATGTAAACAGCCC